TTTCTGCGTGTATTGTGGAGCGTGAAACAGCTGCTTATTGCTCCAACAGACACGATGTGAGGTATTTCCCTCAGCTCTGTGTATCTGTGTGCAGGTGTTTCTGTACGTACATGTATGCAAGTAAGACTGAAAATAGCTGACGCTACACAAAACATACATACCAGTACATGCACTCACGGAGGTCCTTCTTAATGGATGTTTATGTCTCCTACGTGATTGTATGCAAAATGGCCTCATGGAACGCGTTCGTCTAAACAATATGTTAGCAATCCCTGTGAAGCTATATTTATTGCATCGTTCATGTGAAAAGCAAGGTATTGATTGTGTTACATGAAGGCAATGCAAATACAAATATACTCATGAGCATTAACCAAGTACCATTACCTACATGTAGCATATGCTTTGAAAACCATTATTGATTCCGCGTATGATAACTGTAACTGTTGCATAGTTTACTCTCATTAAACACACACAAAAACAAACCTTGGTAACTATTTACTTGCAGTCTGAGAGGATACACACTGTCAATACTGCCGGAAAATATGGTCCCCCTGCCTACGACACAAATATGATTGTCACACAAATCTCAAATAATGATTGTAGTGAACTACCACTGGTGACCACATCGGCACTAGTCAACCCCCCCCCCAACTCTCCCCCTCATACTGACAGTCGTATTGGTATCCCTACAATTCCTCATGAAGTGCCTGCGCCAATATCTGTAAATTATGAACAGGAATATCTCTAGCTCAAACGTGGCGATGCGGTTCGATATCGGGTCTGTTTGCGGGCAGTGTTTCGATGGCGTTTTCAGCAAATAGACGATGACGGCTCGATAACGGTGAGGTCAAGCTTTGTCATCCATGGATTATCAGTACTTCCTCTTGATAACATTGACAATTACGTACCCAAGTACAGTACTGACATCCAGCTTGCAGTCATACGAAGCTCACTAGACACCATCACTCAGCCACACCAAAGGGTTCAGTTGCAAGGGTCATCTCCTGGTGATGACCCATCGGAAACGAGTAGAAGATGGCGACTTTCATCAGAGAATTGAACCTTACACCAATGAACCTTACACCATGTCTTCAAGTTGCCTTCAGCACGCCAGACGTTCCTGCGTGCCTATCTGTGAAGGAACGTCTGATCGGACGACTTGCCACTTCCTCGGTATGGGTCATGGGACTGCGTCGTGCCAGAGAAATTAGGACGGTTATTGGTCTTCCTCGGTCATCCAGACCTTCACGAGACGACTAGCACCGACGTGCCAACACCTGCATCATTTATTTTCCGCAAGCTTGTTTGCTTGCCATGTCAATTAAAGTTATTTTCTTATTCAGAAAACTGTAACGAAAGTTCTACTATTCTCAAATTTATACCGCAATGTCCTTGGCGCCTTTGCAAGTCAACATGCGATCCATTGCTTTTAAGCTATTGTGTGGAGCACGTGCTTTACATGTACAATCCAGTATGCTAAGGTATGATCGCTTGATTGGGCAAAACACCTTTGGATTCAGTTGGTGCTTAGTTAATGCATATAGACATATGTCAAAGGAGCAATAAGGCTGGTTACAACTAGTGAGACTGATATACACCATAGTATAAAGTCAACACAGTCATATCACTAGTTCTATAACAGCCTATAAAAGGCACTCAGTCATGGGATGGATGTATGCGTCGGCTGTTTGAAATCATCCAAAGCAGTTTTGTAAGATGTGATAATGGAAGGTTTTCATCAAATGGTTTGTGGATTAGTCATAACCACCTGTGACCTATAAATGAGAAAGGATGAGCCTTTTTGTCTGCTCTGTTCTTGAGCAATCCTTCATGCTGCCATTTCTATACCACTGGAGCGCCCTGAGTGCCAAATGGTTTGACTTTCCCGGTGTGCAGACTGCAAACATCGGCATGTGCGTAACAGACACGCCTGTGTTACACAACTGTGAGCCTTTTTATTTCGAGATAAGAATCACACAGTTCTTTTCCGTCTGAAATGTGGCCATTATCATTGCATTCTCGGAGCGGTGTATCCAGCGTCGTTGCCTTTATAGGCACAGAGTATCATGTCTGATAACATATCGCTTGGGTAGCCAGCCCTGTTGACAGAGCGTATAGACAGCTAAAGTTAACATAACCTAGATACTGCGACCACTGTATAAGATTTTATATAGTATAGTAATGAAAACTGTGCTTCATACAAAGTGATGTTATAATAAGTATTCGTCTCATCAATATTTTATCATAACAAATTCAATGAAACGGATACCTGATAACAGGCGGCATAGCGACATACCGTGAAGGAGGGTCGGTATAACAACTCAGTTAAGGATGTCAATATCGGATGTAGCAGACCGATTACGTTGATACAGGCGATACAGCTGTTTTGCATACAAGACACAAGAAGGTTGACAACACCCTGTGAATCATGTTCCAAATGTCAACTTGGCTGGTTCTGGTCCTGTCGTAGGTGTCGTTCGTCTCATCACAGACATGTTCTGTGGGGAGCAGGTCTGGTAAAACACATGCGTCATGTGGGTGGGTATTTCCTGCTGCACATTCATCTCTTCGCTGTAGATTGTCCTTGTCTTGACTTCAACCATGCATGACGGCGACGTGGAGGCAACACTGGACGCATCTCTGGGGACGCTGCTGGGGACGAATGCTGTAGTCCCTCAACCGGCTGCGTTCGGTTCTTACACTACTTAGTCTCAACCCAGGAATTGGGGGAGTGGTTAAGGTGGCAGTTTTGTATCGATTCCGTAAATGCATAAACCGAGTATGTTTGTCTGATTGGACACGGCCAGCTCTTGACATGTCCTAAGTGGTGCCCTGCTAAAGATAACGTATCCAAAGAGGGTGACACTCTCTGTATAAAGCGCACGCAATGAGTCAGTTTGTTTAAACTCCAATATTAGCAACCACTGATCCATATCACCACAGATTCAGCAACCGTTGATGCATATCACGATGGGTTCAGCAATACTTCAGACACTTCAAGGTAGGTCCCAAAATCCGTACTTCTCAAACAAAGAGTAATCACAAGCATAATCGCACCGTGCGTTCATAGGTGGTGATAAACAGTATGTTAATATACACTGTGCGAATACATAGAGTAAGATGTATACAGAGAGTATACACCTGTATGTGTTATTTTTTATACATATATACATAAGAAGTTTATTGTAGTGTGAAGAAACATTGGAAGTCATTTCAAATGACAGATAATGAATTTGTATCGTTCAAATGATATATAATACGTTTGTTAAATACGTTAATGAACAATATATCAATATTATTCTACACTGCTTATACTTCCACACGAATGCGCCACAAAGCTGAATGTCATCCGTATAATCCCAAGTGGACGAGATACGTTGTCTCGAATTACGGCGTTTGTTTTCAATGTCTTGATGTTGTTGCCTATGATATCTTAACATATCTCCCTGATGCCTCCTTATCTTATTTGTAAGTAATTTTAACGAGTCTATTATCTTTATGGTTGTTTGTACCAGAGGGTGGTTGAAGGCGTCTGACGTCACACACTGAAATCTTGACGTGCCACGGAATTCTTTATGTACTTTGCAGATTTATCTGGTGTTTCTCAAGACGAGATATCGGTTTGTGTTATTGCTTGATATGCAACAGGTAAGTTATCTCGGTGTGGGGTAGGGACGACATGCTGGTACCTCCTGAGTTCATCTAAATCTATCCCACCTTTCAACAAGCAATACCAAGGGGCTGGCTATTTGTTATTTTTGATGGGATGGAGCGGGTTTCATTGGAACTAAAACACTGGAAATAAAATTGTCCTTAGTTTTTCAACGCAGAGTTTTAGATCTATGACAAGACAGTGCCAATGGTTCAGAGAAGATATTGGGTTAAATATATGTGTTCCTCTGCTTCGGAAAGAAAATCATCTTAAGTGCTAACCTGGCCCAACCTCCCCCATCCTCATACTCCCTCACCCCTCCCCCTCCACACCTCCATACTGTCAGCCAGAGCACCGGACGGTCAGTCCCTAGACAAACATTGTCTTTGATATAAGGTATGAAATATATATTGTCATGTACAATCCTGCTATTTTCAAACACCTGATGTTTAACAACACACACCAGTCTATTTAAATCACAGCCGAAGACCCGGGTTCGATCCCCCGCATAGGTACAATTTGTGAAGCCCATTTCTGGTGTCCCCCCGCCGTGATATTGCTGGAATATTGCAAAAAGCGGCGTAAAATGTAATTCACTCGGTCACTTTAAATCACATGAAAAATGTGTGGCCTTAGAAATCATTAATGGCATGAAATTGAAGACCATCCCAATATGAGTGTAATGTCAACTACAGTGGTGGTTACAAAACGGCTCGTCACCGGGAGTATAATTTACAACAGTATGTTTAGAGTATTCTCGTGTCCTTATTACGATAACATAATGTCAACCCCAGCTCATTTTTCCAGTTATCTTTATATATCGTTGACTTTCGTCTGTAATCTGTCCAACGCGCGCCACACTCATGAACACGCCTTTAATGCTGATACAGCCTATCACTCAATCTTAATGGCCTCATCATCACCCATCGAGCACATTCCAAACCCCGGCTGCAGCAGCATCAACAGTCAGTATGTTCCTACCTCTCCACGTATTTCTTTTAGTGTCGAGGAACAACAGTCCCATCCTCTGACAGACTGAATTCTCCGTCAATGACGTCAGTCTTGACTATAGGTCGTTTCAAGTTGCACACCTATCCCCCGTCAAATCCCCCATGAAACAGACCCATCGCTGTTCGGTATTTTGGGGATAGGTTTGTTTTCTTCATCGCACTCCAGTGTTTATTCCGTCTGTCTGTTATATTTGAATAATGTTATGTGATGTTTGAATAATAAAATTTCTAGCTTGTCGTGGTTGTTTATAAAGCATGGCGTCATGCATTAGCAGCTGTCTCGTATGTAAGCACAATCAACGGGAACATTCCCTAATGCTAACTTTTTTTCTTTGCAGTTGTCAAAGATGATTCTCCGAAGATAAGAACATCCGTTAATATAACTCCATCAGGTAATGGACTATACCTCACTTGACGGCGAAGACACCTCGTTGCCTGCAGATGGTACTGGTGTTCCTCCTTTAAAGCGTTCACCGAAAACGAAGGGAACTAAAGTTACATTTGGTAATTCAAGCACAGACAGTTCACCAAAGAGTCGTTCTTCTCGTGAAGAGGAAGAGGAAGGATTTAGGTCACACGTTGCTGAGAGTTTGGGTCTGAAGAACTTGTCAGAGCTTGACAAGGACATAGCTGAAAGAACCAGAGAGCCACCACACGAAATCATGGAACAAGGTAGTGAATCTACGAAAGAGTCCTACAATGCTGGCATTCCTATAACTGGGCATAGTTCTGATGAGGAGGAGACGCCAAGACAAGAACGATATTCAGAATCGGACATTGGGACCATCCTGGATGAAAGTACTGACGGCATGGTTGAATATGCAGCCAATTACAATGATGAATCACAAAACTCTTCCAAGAGACCCATAGGTCAAATCACTTCGCCAGTTGATAATGCTTCATCTGACCAAAAAGCGATAGGTGAGGATGATAAAATTGACGAAAAGGTGCCAAAAGATACAAATAACGCTACACTGGCAGGCGAATATACGCCTGGTCCACCGATAGAATATGAGGCTGTTGGTGATAAACCCCCTTCAGGGACTATTGCCCTGAACAGAAGGGAACTGAAAGAACCAGATGGAGCATCAGGACCTTCATCTCCTGCTACCGCCCCTCCGACAGAATCCGCTGATCAGGAGCCATTCCTTGTACAGCCCTACGGGAAGTACTCCTCAGAGAAACCCTCTGATCCACCCAAAGAAGACATTGTACAATCCCTAGTTCCCAAGGAACAGGATATAGACCGAAATGAAAATGGTTCCGAAGCCTCCAAGTCTACTGAATCTCAGATTCCGGATATTCCTAATACAAACATCGCCGTTGCCTTCCTTGTAACCCTATGCTTTAATTTCCCATTGGGTGCCTTGGCCATTTACTACGCATTGATGTCCGCCAAAGCTTACAGAGATGGTGAGAAGAAGAAAGGCGCTAAGAGAGCCAGGATATCAATTTACATAAGTCTCTTCTCTATAGTGTTGACAGTGCTGATTGTGATGGTGGTGGTCTTGTTCATGGCTATGAATCGGCAGGCTAGTAGGAAACGGTTTTCGACCAAAACGAGCATATCTTTATGAAGTGCGTCACGACAAAACGGGGAAGTTCGAAAAATTGCTTTATGTAATTTTGTTTATAGTTTCACTACTTCATCGATGGTCACTTTCCGAGGGAACTCAACTGAAGCTGTGAGCAGGTGATTGCAAATATCCGTTGAAGAACTAAGAACATTGACAATCTTTTCAATTCCAAGGTGGCATTTTGAGCACTACATCACACTTACGATGGAAAGTGAAAGCACGTGTAAGCGTTGCATGCAGTGGTTTTAATATTGACATGTCATATGTGATTCCGTTCATAATGTACGAGTTGTCGGTGAAAACATGGACCGAAAATGTCGAGTTAAGGCTTGAACAATCTCTCGATTTATGTGAAAGTTTATTTTATAAAACATGACAACATCACCTTGTGTATTTTGCAGGTTGTGCCTTTTATACAATCTATGCCATGCTACAACTATATTTTCCACCAAGTTGTTCTTTGTATTCGGTTTACACAAATCTGAACTAGTCTTTATGGTTCACACAGAGAAGTAAGCCAATGTGCACTGATAACACTTTATGTCTCATAATTCATGAGAAAACGTGATAAAAAGTCACATCTGAAGAAGACTATGATATATTTTCGCTTTTTATTTGATGTTTCAAGGTGAATACAAACAGAGGGGACTTGTGTACTTGGATATGTTCTTAAGAATGTTGCCCCATGTTCTGAAGTGTTGCACAGCTCTCCTTTTGATATACTATGATTGTAAACAATTATTGATTTACTTATTGAACAATACAGAATTGATGCAAACACGAATGTCTTTGACAAACATATGATGGCATTATATACCTGTCGTGTTCCACAGCCAAGACACCTGGGTGCTGTTGTAACAAAGTGATCTTAGCGCTAAGGTGACCGTAACTCCCATACCATAACATAGACTTAAGGTAGTCTTAGCGCTAAGGTTGTTTTGAACTACGGCACCCTGACCGAGAATGATTCCTATTACTTAGAGACGTTTTATCATACTTTGGCTGGAAAAGTTATCTTTATAATTGATTTGGATATGTGTTATTAAAACATGAGTGAGGTAAAATATTTTACTGGCCTAGTATCCTGACAATATGTATGTAGATAACGGAGTGTAATGTGTTTGATTAAAGGTGAAAAGTGCCAAACTCAAAATGTCACAAACTGTTCACATTTAGCCACACTGGTTTCAGTAATTCCAGCATCAGCACTTATATTATCATTTGTTTCATAGTGGATGATACTGATGCCCAAGGCGCCGCAATTAGCTGTGAAGAGTTGCGTCCCTTTATCGCGCTGTAACACTATGGTTCGCTTCGCAAGTTCGCCCAGATTATGGTTTGTCTGTACCCGTGATGTTTTGTTTTACAAAAGGTGGGAAGGATCATGGCTGCATTAATTCGGGCTTCCACGGTAAGTTGACAACCCGTGATATAACTGGAATACTTTTAAAAGCTGTGTTGAACCCAACTCACTCACTCACTCACTCAGTTTAATTGTGTTATCATGTCATCGCGTAATCTGTGATATTGATGTAAATTAGAGTTGTTCATGTTATGGCGACGAAGTCGGAATGTGGATTTTCAATGAAAGGTTTGTTTAGTGCTCATTCAGCATGTTGCTATTTTCTGTTTAAATTCCTTTCTCATTTCCTTTTTTTCAAAGTAAACATCAGTAACGTACTTACTGGCAGCGGTGTTTGACTGTTTTATTGCATTATGTGATTATACCATTTCACTCGAAGCGAACAGGTATAAGACTACTTAAATCGTTTATATGGATGGCATATTGTAAAAGCGCCTTACAACCCAACTTCTCCATTGTGATGAAGCTCATTAGATAGACTGGACATGTACGCTAAACGTGTCCCCGAATGTTCCAACATCTGTCTCTTATAGTCTAGGTCTTGCAGTTATTGCTCTGTTTGTAGCATTTTGAGACACAATGACACATTACTGAATGATTTACTCAAACTTCCCCCGGCTGTCACACTACCGGAGCCCGCTCCCCTCTAACTGGAGATATCTGGTACACACGCACACGCCCACGCACACGCACACACAAGAACCCCATTCCTTAAACACCCTCACCCACCCACACGTACACACACAAGGACCTACGCACACGTACATACACACATGTAAGACCCCCATACCCTCAACACCCTCACACCAAACCACATATACAAGTACACACGTGTGCTCTCTCTCTCTCTCTCTCTCTCTCTCTCTCTCTCTCTCTCTCTCTCTCTCTCTCTCTCTCTCTCTCTCTCTCTCACACACACACACACACACACACACACACACACACACACACACACACACACACACACACACACACACACACACACACACACACACACACACACAGAGCCCCCGCACCTGGCCCCCATCAACATACATATTGCTTCCGTTATCTCACAGAACACAGAACAAACGTTCTGCTTTTTTCAGTACCTAAAGTCAGAGAAAACCCAACAATATAATGAATTCTCCCTGGACAGATAACGTACGTAATGGACTATTTACCCTATAAAACTAACATATTTTTCTGAGAAATTTTCGAAACGTTGATGTTGTTGGAACAATGGGTGACGCCATTCTTTCCAACTATATGTTGATGTGATGTCACGTTGCTACAGATATCTTCACCAGCAGAAGACCAGTTGGCGCCAATAAGTTAAAGTAAACGTCTAATGCTCAGTGACAATTACTAAAAGTACTGTTATGTTTATACTCACCCTGTGGGCAATATTTTTCTGCTGCTAACGGTAACCCTTGTTGGTATAATCATTGTTTCGATTATCCTTGAATGTTTCACCTTTTAGTTTAGTTAGTGTCATATTTGGTTTATCGACGGTTCATAAACTTGCATCAAGTTCTATGCAAGATGTTATGACATTTCCTTTTTATGCAAGATTTGACGTCAGTATTGACGTCATTCAACTACTGTATGACCATGTATTGCCTATGCAGCATGCATATTAAAGTGCCTTACAGCGAGCAGTGTGTTGAGTCTCTGTTGTTGCCTGAACCGTGAGTGATGGATGTATCAACATATGTCAGATGTATAGAGTTTACCCCGACGAATCACTACCTATTTTCTTAAGCAGACAAACTTCCATCAGCTTAACATTAACGGCTTGGAGAGGCAACTGCTTTAGAAGTTGACGAAGGTTGTCATTGCACGCCACGCCACAACATATCAATCAGTCATTTATTCAGTAGTATGGCCGCATGGCCTTGAGTACAGTTATTTGAGAGTATATACATACATACATACAGGCATACATACACACACATACATACATACATACATACATACATACATACATACATACATACATACATACATACATTCATACATACATACATACATACATACATACATACATGCATACATGCATACAGGCATACATACATACATACATACATACCCCAATAACTATAGGGGAATATCTCTCATTGATTCATTGTGCAAAGTTCTGACAAGTGTGATAAATAACAGGCTCAAACAGCGGTGTGATGACAATAACATTATATCTGAGTCTCAAGCTGGATTTAGGCCTACATATTCCACCATAGATCATATATTTACACTGCAAGCCATGATTCAGAAATATCTTGTGAAGAAGAGAGGTAGACTTTACTGCCTCCTTATCGATTTCTCCAAGGCATTTGACTGTGTAAACCATGATGTCATGTTCCGAAGTCTTCCACAAATTGGAATTAAGGGTGATTTTTTTAACTTTATTGTATCAATGTATTCTAAGCTATCGGCTTGCATCAGGACTGACCACGGTCTTTCAAATTATTTTAATTGCAATGTTGGAACCCGACAAGGATGTATAGTAAGCCCACAGATATTCATAATCTTCATTAATCAGCTTATTACAAGAATGGAAGAAACCGGTGGAAGAGGTATATTCTTAAGAACTGACTCTCCGGATATTGTTGGCCTCATGTATGCAGATGATGTTTCGGCTGTTTCAGATTCTGCCAATCAGGTACAGAAAAAAATAAATGTAGTTGAAGAATTTTGTGATGCCACTGGAATGAAGATAAACCTGAACACGACAAAGATAATTGTTTTCAGGAAAGGAGGCCCTCTCAGAAACTATGAAAAGTTGTATTTCAAAGGTCAACAAATCAAAACTGTAAATGTTTATAAATATCTTGGAACATTGTTCACGCCGAAATTATCATGGACAAAAACTCAGCTATGCCAAGCAGCACAAGCCACTATAGCTCTATTTTCACTCAACAGATTTCAGCAAACTTGTGGATATTTAGACTTAAAGGAACTGTTTAGAATATTTGATAGTATGATAACTCCTATATTATGCTATGGCGCGGAAATATGGGGATCTAACTATTGTAAAGTCATTGAACAGGTTCAACTCAAATTCTGTAGAAAATATCTGAGGCTGAACAAGAACACTAATAACAACATGGTCCTGGGTGAGTGTGGCAGAACCCCACTGCAGTATTACTACATGTGTAGAGCAGTCAGCTACTGGTGCAGGCTTATTCATATGGAGAGTAACAGACAACCACAGCAAGCATATCTCATGCTCAAGTCCTTGGATGATTGTGGGAAGATGACATGGGCTACTCACATCAGGGCTCTACTCTTTCAATATGGATTTGGCTTTGTGTGGATAAGCTAGGACATTGGGGATACAAAAGCTTTTATATATAGTTTTAAACAAAGATTACAAGACTGTCTGACTCAGAACTTGCACTTATCTCTTTCAGAATCTTCCAAATGCAATTATTACTCACAGTACAAGTCACTACTGAATGCTGAAAAATATCTGCTTTCACCTGAAATACCATTATATACTATAAAATAGCCATTGCAAGATTTAGATGCAACAACTTCAGACTAGCCATAGAAACTGGGCGACACTCCAATACCCCACGTGAAGAAAGACTGTGCACCTATGGCTATACTAATAATATATCTCTTATTGAGGATGAATATCATGTAATGATGGTCTGTGACAAGTACAGCCAAGAACGACAACTCTGCTTCCCTCATACATACATACATGATACATACATACATACATACATACATACATACATACATACATACATACATACATACATACATACATACATACATACATACATACATACATACATACATACATACATACATACATACATACATACATGATACATACATACATACATACATACATACATACATGATACATACATGATACATACATACATACATGCATACATGCATGCATGCATGCATCCATACATACATACATACATACATACATACATACATACATACATACATACATACATACATACATACATACATACATACATACATACATACATACATACATACATACATACATACATACATACATACATACATACATACATATAATATATATATATTCACGTGATAGATCTTAAGAAATATGTTTCAGGAATATTGCAACAAATTTAAGGGTATTTACAATTTTTTAGATGAACAGGTTTGTCATTGTATACGTATTCTTGATTTGATATGGACACATCAACTTCATTCATAAATCGGAATACTTTGGACAAGCGAAAGACATGAAATTTATCCTCGATGCTGCAATTATTACAATTTGTGGGTATATATCCTTGGAATGAGCTATATATGTAGAGTTTGAAATTTCATCATGCCATGTTTGAGTATATATATCGGTTAGACATTGCTCCAGTTTATAAATAAAACTATTTTCATTTCCGACGTCCTGGGAAAACACTACATTTGAGAATCCACAAGAAGACTCCTTATTTCCGATGTCCAATTTAGTTTTCCTTTTTCATCTAGGTTTTTCAGCATTAAATATGATTGATGAGGATATCTGCGTTCGTTCATTCTTAGAAGCCTGATCCAGTATTTGACAGTTCCTAGCTGTGTACATATGTATAATGGGTATCGTCTAGTTTCTCCCAGAATGGCTTTATTTGTTGCAAATTTTCCAACATTCAGAAATTCTTTAAAATAAGTAGCTTGTTCTATACTTTCTTGATATTTAATTCCCATATCTCAGACGCATGGGGCAGTATTGGTTTAGTTTTACTGTTAAATATGTGACAGGCAGACTTAAATGATATTGATGGGTATTGTTTGAAGAGACTGTAGATGGGAATGACGGGAATGACGGCTTTTCCAGCTTGAGCGGAGAGACTCTGACAGTTCTTAGTTCATTTCATGATGGCGAGAACAAAACTCCAAGATATTTACAATATATTGTACATTTTACAGGTTTATCTTCAAATGTACAGGATTCATTTTTCGAGATTATGCCACCATTTCTAAACACAATTATATTTGAACAAGTTAGAGGCTATCAAAAGAGTCATGTATCGGTTTTAATTGAGCCACACATCACAACCATGCCCTGTGACCGTAAAACACAACACATCGATAAAATAGAAACAATCTGGACAAATAGCTCATAAATATATTAATACAATGTTACAAGAATTCAACACATACTGACAATTGTTAAACAAACCAATTTTCATATCGTCGCTTCCACTTGTCATTCTTCTCCTCCGCAGATGACACCAGTGACAAAGCCACGCAATGGCAAATAGCCACGTATTAGTCTGAAAAGGCAAGGGCACTACGGTATAAGTCAAAATAATTGCATCAGACATACTTTTGTCACCAATGTTTCTACTACAATGTTTGAGAAACCTTTGCCGAAGCTTGACACTTGAATATTGTGGTAGAAAGACCAATGGTCCCTTAAATAACCCCGCTGTCTTGAGCTCCGCAATATCATAAAGGGGAAGGTGACTCTCGACTTGTTATACGGTCTCGTGGGTATTACTTACTCTGTTAACTTAGGTCCAAGTATGAAACTGTTGGGGCGGGATCACTGGTCATGTTTCTTTCTTGTTCAGGTGGGTAAATATCTGTGATGATTACTTAACGATATCAGATCATTGTTACACCAGAAGCTTATTTCAAACTTCTTAGCCATGTTATCCGAGTTTTTAATCGTGATATTACTTCCTTAAGAAGAAATAGGTGATCTAGAATGGAAAACAATTGCAGAATACAGAGACAAGCAGTATTGACACAATGGAAGAGAATTGTTTTACTACAATGTTCATCACATCGATGAACACACTAGAAGTATAGAGTGAACAGGTTGTTTAGACACCATGGTCGTGGGCAGAATTACAACCATTCGGACTCTACCTACAGTGAAAACTGTCTAAAATCATATGTTCGATCAGTAGAAATTAAAATGGTACGACGTATAAAAAAACAAGGCC